GTTATTACCTAGATTGTGTTCTAGAAGGCATGCTTTGACTGTATACCTCGTCTTCCTGAAACATGGAGACTCATAGGTATACTGTTGGGCTTGTCCTGAAAGAGCACAGGGCTAGGGTGATAAGCTGAAGGAATTCGTCAAATCTCTGTGAGGGATTAGGTTATCCGTAAACCGGAGAAATCAGGATGACATTTACAAGGACTCGAGAATCTATGCATAGTAAAAGAGATCATGAGATGATCTGCTTTTAGAGTCAGTAAATTGAAGATTCCCTATTTCGAATAAAGCTTACCCTAAAATGCAAGGGTTGATACGTTTCCTTACCCTAGGTTTTATGGGAAGGTAACCGAGACGAAAGTAAATACATACGGCAACCAAATATGTGTAATAGGATGATTATGTCATTAATCTAACTAGCTCTGGGGCAACAAAGCATTGCTAGTGCTCTGTGTTGTCATTAGATGGGTTGTGGGCTTATTAGGCCCAAGCCCATTTATGTCAGTGGCTATGTTGCGCCTAATGGGTCACACTCTAACACCTTATTGTCATGACAATATAGCATTAAAGGTATTGGGCCTAATAATGGTTGTTAGCCCAAGAAGAAGTTTGGAAGCCCACCAAAAGGAAAAAAAGGGCGCATGGTTAGTTAATGGGCTTGGATGGTCCAAGACATTACTAATTAATTTAATTAGTTAAATTAATTATCAAATGTTTAAATTTTGAATTTTGAATTTTGAAATTTGAATTTTGAAATTTGAATTTTGAATTTGAATTTTGAAATTTGAATTTTGAATTTTGAATTTGAAATTTGAAATTTGAAATTTGGAATTTGAAATTTGAAATTTGAAATTTGAATTTTGAAATTTGAAATTTTGAATTTTGAATTTGAAATTTGAATTTGAATTTGAATATAAAATTTAAATATTTGAACGTTTGAATTCAAATGTTTGAATTCGAATTTGAATTGGCTATGAAAAGTTGTTTCATAACAAAAGGATAAGATAAGATCTTGTTGGAACAAATCCCAAATATCAAGAGGAGATCTTTGAGAATCTTCTAGTGAGGATATGGGGCGCTGATTAAGGTATCTGATGATGGTCATAGGATCAACCAAATGAGCTCCAGTCAGATTTGGTTTGTTGAGAGAATAAGTGAGACAGTTGGTTCAAGTTTGAATGCAACTGTTCAATGTATCTGGACTGTTATGAGGCCAAGTGGGGCGCACCATATGGCTGGCCATATGATGGTTGTTGAGTCAGATTCTTGTTGAGATATTCACTTGATATCATGAGGATGTGAGAGGAGGTTGTTGACAAGATTTGAATTTTGCAACAACTCCACTCATCCCCCTAGTGTGCGCTATATATAGGGCCTTATTTGAGTGAAGAAAATTAGATTTTAATTAACTCATTCTCTCATCTCCTTGTGGGTTCCTTTTGTGAGGTTTTTCTTAAGAGAGTTTCGAAATAACCTAGCCTTTTTCAAAGAAAACCATGCGCCACGTTTGTGTCTATTCTTGCTGAATATTCACTCTTCTAAACACCTTGACCTAGCCTCCTCCTTCACACATTGGGCGCATAGCTTGCCTCCATTGGTGTTTTCGTTGGTGGCCTTGAAGAAGAGTTCTTCCGTCTTGACAAAGGGTGGTGTGGATCAACATTAGAGGGCTTGCATCTTCAAGCCTCATCTTGATCATCCTCCAGTTTTGGAAAGCAAACAAGGTAACATCTATGCCCTAAAGCATGTTTCTTGATATGGTATGTGTTATTCCGCTCGAAAAATTTTGTTTTTCCCTCTCACATGCCTCGACCTTCAAGGTCAGTTTCTTTCACCTTGGTGGGAGGAAAGAATTTTATCAAGAACTTTTCAGCAAGGTCCTCCCATCTTCTGATTGAATTAGATGGTAGAGTGTTAAGCCATGTCTTAGCTCTATTAGAGAGATAGTAAGGGAACAACTTCAGTCTTAGTGCATCAGATGTAACTCCTTGCATCTTAAAGATGTCTGCCACGTCCATGAAGTTCTTCAACTGTAGATGCAGGTCTTCACTTGACAACCCATTGAACTGGCCAATAATTTGCAGAATGTCAAACATCACTGGTCTAAACTCAAAATTGATTGCTGCAACATCAGGTTGCACAATGGCAGAATGAAGATTGTTAAGTGCTAGCATGTCATGTGCCCTGATTGAGATTTCATCCTGGTTTGGACCTCGTCCATCAACACCAGAACCTGTTATTCTTGCTGCCATGTCAGGTAATGCTGTAGCAATGCTCTGTCACTGCTGCCTCTTCCTAGCTTGAAGTGTTCCTTCAATTTTTGAATCAAAGTATACTTTTGTTTAGTGAGGAGGATTGTTCATGTACTACCTGCAAAACCTGAAAACAGTAAGACAATGGATGAAGTATCACTTCACAAAGAAACTAACTTTATAAGTTTTCCCCGGCAACGGCGCCAAAAACTTGTTGTGCAATTGTGTACCCCTTTATCAATCACACATTTACGCAAGTGCATGTGTCAACAAGTAATAAAGTGGATGTGTGAGTCCAGATATCGTTCCCACGAAGAAAACTATAAAGTTGGGATCAATGTGAAGCAATAAAAGTAACAATATTTATGAAAGTTTTGTAAATTAAGAACTAAGGAATAAACTAATATTAACTACTCACTAAAACTAAAAGCAAAGTAAAAAAATAAAATAGCAAAACGCAAATAAATGGTTCTAACACTCAAATTACCTTCAAATATCCACAATTAACATATTTCTCATTCAAATCATGAAAATATAGAATTCATGCATTAATCATATAAAACTAAGAGAATTATGTATATTTATGGCACCAAAACATCACAAATAAGCCTAAAAACAACTCTCTTTCAGAGAGTTATCAGCAGGGAAACTCAAAAGGTTAAAACGTGTTGAGTAAAACGGATAACAAGGGGGAGATGTGGGAAGAAGGTAAAACGTTTAGACTTTAAAACAGCCCACGATTGTCATTAAGCACCCGCGTAATTATGGTGGCATTAAATGCGTCTGACAATTAAACATCTAATCAACCGTTTTTAAGCAGCTAACAAATGATGATTTTCCGACATGATTATTGCGACATCAAATGAACGCGCCAAAAAACATCGCGCCTGGAAGATACATATATAACTCCCAGCTTTGCTATAAACCAAAACTGCGAGCTAGGGGGCAACTGATCTGGATAAAATATGATAGCCCCATCAAGGACCCAAATACATAGAACAAAGGCCCAAAACCACAAGGCCCCGCGAAGGGCGCGATGGCTCCCATCGCGCATGATAGGGCGTGATTCAATCATCGCGCGAATAACACCCTTTAACATAACTTCTAGGATAAGAAATCAAGCTTAGGAGCTAATAAAGGATCACAACGTCTTTAAGCAAATAGATAGAAGAGAACACTTGTTTGCCACTACTCTATCAAGGTAGCCTGGCATTAAAAGATAAGGCTATTGAGGCACTAGCTGAACTTGCAGCCCTTGAACGGCCAATCAGAGGCCATACCGCCTTCTTAAGGCGGCATCAGAACTACTATATAAGCACAAGGTACGTGCCCATGTATGATAATCTAATTTAGTAAGAATACACATACACCTGACATTGATAATGACTTGAGCGTCGGAGTGTCATTGCAGGTACCCCTAGTCGAGTTCAACGCGCCAAAGGAGAACCAAAGTCCACTCATCATCAACATCCACCTGCCTAGGAGACAGATTACCCAAAAGCCTTCTCACTTCAACTGTGTGTGATTTGACCAAGTACACTTTGGTCAGCCCATATTGTATTTTGGGCTCGTTTGTATTGCCTTTTCAAGAAAGTCTTTTTTATCACTTCCTTATTTTAAAAGTACTTTCTATAAAAGTTACAGCTATTTAGATTTTTTTAAAAATATTTGATTTTTGAAAAAAAAATATTTAGCTTTTGACTTCTGCTTTTTTAAAAGTTAAAATTTCTAGCTTCCGAAAAAAGTAAGTTTTTGACTTTTTTTATAACTTATGTTTTTTTAGAAGCAAGCATCCAAAAAATCTTTTTTCAAGAAGTGATTTTTTTCTTAAAAAAGCAACTTTTGAAAGAAAAAAAAAAGTTCATCGAAACGGGCTCTTGTCTAATCAAGACTCAACATTAACTCATTACGCTTGAGCAGCTTGTGATGAGTCAAGCTTGAATTAAAAAAATTGAATAAAATTAATTTCATGGCAAACCGATTTTGAACTATTTAAGCTTTACTTCTACTTACTCTAGGTCTCTAACCCTACTTAACTTTCATTTTTCCTTAACTTTATTATAAAGTTACTTATTTAACATATTTTATAATTTTATATTTTCCGACATATTTTATAATTTTATATTTTCCGACAGCATATATAATGACCTAGTGTTATAAAACTCGAATCCGTCAGTAATTCCGTTGAGAATAGATTAATGATTCAATTCATTAATTATTAATTGAATCAATTAAATTTAATTTATATATTAACGTAGAATAAATATAAAAATTGAAATATTTCTGGAACATTTACCCAAAATTATAAAAAAAACTGGTCCAAACGCGGGAACACTCCCGTAGTTCCGTGATTGGACCGAATCGATCGGAGTTCCAGTGTAATTCGGGTGAAGCAGTGGCAGTGTGGCACCCTCCGATCCAATTTTTACGACATTTGCAATAACCTTAAGTCCTAAAAAATTTTGTTTTATTAAAAAAATATTTTTTTTTCTAATATAAAATATATATTTAAAAATAAAGAAAAATATTTATCATTTTAAATGACATACCATATATTTTTCCACCCTTATAAAGATATGAGACCCACACCTTTATTTTTTTTTATTAACTCTTTTCTTCTTTATCTATCTCTTTCTCTCTTAGCTTTATTTTTTTTAAATGATACACACACTCCCCTTGAAATAATATAAGTCAACACGGTTTTTCTTGGCTTATAAAAGAAGACGCATCTTCCAAGCAACAGCTAGAAACATACCTGACTCGGTGGATCTCGTCTTAATATCCCAAAAAGACTGCAATAAACGAGGATCTAGGGGAGCAGCAGATTCTAAACCTTCTTCTTTCATTAAATTAAAGGTCAAGCTTTTATAAACATGTTAAGGTTTCATTTTCATGATACTGTTTCTGTTTGTTTTCTTTTTCTTTTTCTTTTTCTTCAAGAGATGGTCCTTTTAAATTGAATTATTTATGTATAAAAACCTTTGACTGATGTGTACCAAATTCAGATTACTTATGTCTTCTGTTTAGTTCTTGTAAAAACAGTTAACGCATTACTTTGCTTTGTTTGGCGGAAGAAAGGATCCAATTTGGACTTCAGAACTATCAAATTTGCTTTTCTTAAAAATCAAGTTGAATTTGTACTCAAATCATTTTCTGTTCCTGGTTAGTGCAGAACACAGTTTCTTGGCATGGAAACTCTTTCATATGGTTCAGCACCATGCTGTCAAGTCTTGAATTCAAAGTGGAAATCGGTTGAAAAGAGCTTGAATTCACGTCAATCAAGGTTTTCATCTATGGGAAAACATGGAGTTTGTTATAGCTATACCATTTCTGCATGTGGGCCAGTGGGAATTTATGATATGGGTCAATCTTTCCCGGGGAAACGGTGGCACCAAAGAGGTTGTAAGTCACAAAATGCTCTTGAAGAATCTAAAAGACTCAATTTTAAGATGCATAGTGGTAGTTATGATGGTTATGTGATTGGTGAAGAGGAAGCAACAGATGTTTCAGGGATAGAGGAATCTGCAACCAAGGTTCTAATTCCAGGTTTGCCTGCTGAGTCAAATGGTGAATCTTGTGCTGCTCCAATAAGTAGTTGCTTTTGGAGATGGAAGCCAAAATTCAATGTACACTATGAGAAGGCTGGGTGTGAAAACGTGGGTTCCCCACATATTCTATTTCTTCCTGGTTTTGGTGTTGGTTCTTTCCATTATGAGAAGCAACTGAAGGATTTGGGCCGTGACTTTAGAGTGTGGGCACTGGATTTTCTAGGACAAGGAATGTCTTTGCCTTTTGAAGATCCTGCTCCTCTTTCCAAGGAAGCGATTGCATCAAATGGGAATATTTCTTCATGGGGTTTTGGAGATGAAACTGAACCTTGGGCAACTAAGCTTGTATATTCTGTTGATTTATGGCAAGAACAAGTTCGCTACTTCATAGAAGAGGTAAATTTCATGCACTGTTTGATAGCAGCCAATTTTTAGCTATTTCATTCCAGTTTATGTTTGCTCAAACTATATGCTGAAAAATGGTCCAGGCAAATTTGCTCGTTTGTCTGTAGTTTTAGATTTCTTCTTAGACTCTCTGAATCTGTATTATTCATTGCTTAGGTATTATGGTAAGGACTATATGCGGACTGTTTCCATATTTTAATCAGACAAATAATTTATAGCTTTGTGTAGCTCCTTCATATTATGGTAAAACTTGATATTACCTTGTTTCCTGGTTTTGTTAATAGTCATGGTGGCATATAGTTGCAACAATACATGAGGTCATTTCATTAAAATGAGTTTTTTTTTTTTTTTTTGTAAATAAAAATGAGTTATTTTTAATATCTGTGTTACTAAGAAAGACTTCAAGACAATTATTTCATGATTTCAAACATTTTGTTCCTGCGTTCCCTCTCATCCACCGCTAGTTCTGCAAATATAATACCTTTTCGATATCTAAAACATGATTTATTTTGCATTAATGGCAGTTATGTTAGGAACCAGCAGAAAGATAGTAGATAAGAGAGAAAGAATGAATGGAAATGTGTTATTCATGACTTAAATGCAAACAGAGAAAAGGAGAGAGTTCTTACCAAGGATTTCTCATTCAACAAAAGAGTTTTGCCATTTACTACTTAGCTATTGCTTTGTTTTCCCAAACTATCAAATCTGAATCTCCCTCCCTTGTATCCCTTCTACTATCGTGGGAGCCAACAAGGAATTAAGGGAAAATAGGAAATAACAGTGAAATTGATATTTCTAAGCACTGGTTCAACAAGAATCCAGTGGAGTTACAATATCCATTGAGGCTAAACAGCCTTTAGAAGAAACTACACGTTGCTGGAAAATAAAAAAACAAAAGGGAAAAATAAAGAACTGAAAAGAAAAGATTAACCCAGAGCAATTAGAGAGGCTACTGGTCTCTCTCAAATTCCAATCCCAAGTCCAAGATTTCCGATGTTCCATCTAGCGTCACACCTTCCCTATTTAACCACCCTTACCTCACCTCCTATGCCACCCATTCTATTATAGTTACATTTGGTTGCAACTGATTAGCTGAGTCAGCTGAATGATTATTCCCCTATAATGTTTCCTCACATGCACCCTTAAAGCTGGGATCGTATCATACTATTTAAGCAAAGCCTATGCCTTTCCAACTATAACCACATAACTAATTCTACAATTATTTTGCAACTAATTTTATAACTTCATCTTGGTCCTATCAAGTTACCATGGAATGATTTGCTTGATTATTATTGCAAAAACTACAGTGGTCATATTATATCTGATACCCCTTCTGTATGTGACTCAACAACCTGTGCCACCTCCAATGTCTGTAGTTGACTGTCAAACCATCAGTACCTTGCCAATAAATATATTGCCACTACCATTAACTTAAATGGTTCTGCAAGTATTCTTTTTGTCTACTATCAAGAAAGCCATGTACAATCATCAGCATTTCAATACTTAGTATACTTGTGATGTTTACTCAAATCTGTAATGGCACTTGTAAAGAACCAATTCAACTCAAAAACTTAAGTTGTTGAGTGAGGCTACATTAATAGTTTTGTATTTCTCTAATAGCACTCTTTTGCATATTGCTGAATTTATCTGCAATATTTTCAGAAATATTTTTACAGGAAATTTTTTATCCTTCCAAGATCTTTCTGATCTCTTGCAGTATTTTTGTGCTAAATGTTATTATAAACACATTAACGTTGCTACTTAGGTTTATAGCTGACAAAGAATTTTGATAGTTATGATTTGTTTAGATTTAGTCAAAAGCTACCTTGCTTGTGGAAATTGGTTCTGTCAAATGATTTTATGATTAAAGAAATGATACAAATTGATTTGTTACAGGTCATTGGGGAACCAGTCTATCTTGTGGGCAACTCACTAGGAGGATATGTTGCATTGTATTTTGCAGCATGCAACCCTCATTTAGTGAAAGGTGTCACATTGCTTAATGCTACACCTTTTTGGGGGTTTCTTCCTAATGCAGTAAAATATCCAGGACTGGCCAAAATATTTCCATGGGCTGGAACCTTCCCCCTACCTTCAAGTATAAAGAGACTTACAGAGCTATTGTACGTATGGCTTTATTTTTATTTATTGATTCATTTCTGTCTTTTTTGCTGACATGTTTTTACATATTTTAGTGAACTTCTAAATTAGTACATTTCATGTATGTTACCTACATATCCAGCCATATGTGAGTGATGATATAATAAAAAACTCATGATGGACATAGTGTTCTGTTTGGATTATGAAACTTTACAAATTTATTGAGAAGAACAATTGCGTTGTTGGAAATTTTATGATGCAACTACTTTGTTATTGCATTAAATTTTGCAGAAGCCACAGCAGCTTCTTTCTCCATTAATATAGTTTTTTTAGATACCTTGAAATATGTATACCCAATGGGTGAGATTTTCTCATGATGTGTATCTCTTCCATTAACCTGAATTTTTTTTTTTTTTTCCTTTAGGTGGGAGAAAATTAGTGATCCTAAAAGTATTGCTCAGGTACTTAATCAGGTTTATGCAGATCATTCAACAAATGTAGATAATGTTTTTTCACGCATAGTTGAAACCACAAGGCATCCTGCTGCTGCAGCATCATTTGCTTCAATTATGTTTGCTCCTCAAGGAGAATTATCCTTCAGTGAAACATTATCAAGGTAGACATTACCAGATCTCTAATATCTCTAACTGGTATTTAATATGCATGGATACCATTCATATGCCTCGTTGCAAGTTAAGGATTTTCAGCTTGTTTGCATTTTAGATGTCGAACAAACAACGTGCCAATCTGCCTCATGTACGGAAAAGAAGATCCCTGGGTGAAGCCAGTTTGGGGATTCAAGGTTAAAAGGCAGGTGCCTGAAGCTCCATACTATCAAATCAGCCCTGCTGGTCACTGCCCTCATGATGAAGTCCCTGAAGTATGCAATTTCAACACTAGTTAGCTTGAAATTGTTCTTTCTGCTCTTTTTAATTGCAATAATAAACCATGAAGATACGGGGGTTTATCAATTTTAAGAGATAAGAAAACATGCACATAAAATGGAATATGAAAATAGGTTCCTTGCGTATGGTTTATCAATTGGTGAAGTTGTCTTATTTTCCTTTCCCTTTCCCTGGTCTCTCAAGTGTGTGTGTGTGAGAGAGAGAGAAAGGAACCCTTGATCTAGTGGTGTCACACCTAGACTGAGGATTTGACCTACTGAAAGGGTAGCGGGTTCTGAGAGTCGCAACTTTTGAGGAGGGTAAAGTGGTTCAATCCCTAGCCCATTAGGGTTTCAGATATGGGTTGATAAATACCCAAAAAAAAAAAGAGAGAGAGAGAGAGAACGGATGCAATGTCCTTTCCTATTGCAGAATGAGAAGTCAAGTTCTATATTTTGCTGAACTTGGAAAATCAATGTAATAAGACTAACAACAATATGTGCTTCCTTTTGTAATTTTTATTCCCACAGTAGGCGTAGGTTGTCTTTTTATCATAGGTCAGTTTAGTACACCATTAAAAATGGGGTAAAAAATTATGGATGAATTTTATACAAAAAAATCATACGAGAAAATTGTCCCATAATTTTTAGCTCCCATGGAAAAGGGTAATACCAAACTTACTCATAGAGGTAAATAATCATTTACTTGTTGAATCACATGAATTTTCAGGCTTGTCATATTGACATTGTCTATATGAAATCTTGAGAAAGAAAAGGAATATTCAATATAATTTTCATCAACTTGTTCTTTAGATTGATTATAAGGCAGCAAGGAATTTAACTGTTACAAATTTGATTCCTTCCTCAGTGTTTAGTTCCATATGATTGTCATGCATGATCACAATAATTAATACAGTAAGTCTCCTTATTTGCAGGTCATAAATTTCTTACTTCGTGGTTGGATCAGAAACCTAGAGTCTCAGGGTTCCGTTTCATTACCTCTGCTTGAAGACCTAGACAGTGTGAAGCACACATTTGACAGGGAGTTAGAATTTCCCAGAGAAGGTTCAAAAAAATCAGTTATGGTCAGATTTTTCGTTTCAAGTTTCTCACTTTGGGACAGGATAAGATCTTACATCAAATCTCAATCCAAGTTCAGTAATTTGGCTGCCAAATCTCAATGACATGATGAATTATGCCATCTTCAAATATAAATCAACTTTGTATACTGTCTTCTCTTTTTTTATAGTTTGTACCACAGAAACCATACATAGTTGTTTTAGAATCAGAAGTCAGTGTTGTATATATGAACCATTTCTTACCAAAAAGCATGTCAAATTAATATCTATTTCATTGGAGAAGTTAAATGCCATGCCATAGAAACATGATCCGATTGTTTTACATCAGAAATGAAATGTTTCGCTTACTCAAAACAATTTGGGCAATGACATTAGGACATTTCTTTGATTATAACATTCCAATAAGGCAAAATCATAAATAGAAATTTTTGTAAAAAATCAACCACACAACAAAGTACTCACTCCCAACTCAACAAAATAAGGCCTAAAATATGTAATAAAATAAACCACGGCAGTGGTAAAATTGTTCTTTTATGATTGAAAGGTCATGAGTTTGAATCTAAGAAATAACTTTTTTGTAATTATGCAAAGGGTACAAAGATTACTTCTATTCCATACTCGTTATTCGGGTTTAACTGGAGTTCACTGAAAGATCATTGATTCGAATTCAGAAAACAGTAGGTATTACTTCCACCCCATACTGGTTTGATTTAATGGGGAGTGATTTTTTTTTAAGCACATTAATTACTTAACGTAAGAAACGTTTTCCTTCAAATTTAAAAGGCATATAATTAATCATTATTCAAGTGATAATTTTTTTTATTTTTTTTAACCTGAGGTCTCGAGTTGGTAGTGGCAATACGTAGTGACACGAATAGTGATATTTTCTTCTTCAAACTTACAGGCGCTCAACCTATTAACATATAACAATATCTCAACCTCAACCAAACCATTCTGCCATTTGTAGCAATATCAAATGGCTGGAAAAATATATATCCATCTAATTGTATTTGTAGCACCGTAAGGAGAAGTGGATCGGGGGAGAGATTAGCATTGCCAATCATTTCTCCCTAATTATAATTTTTTTATTTTATTTTATTTATAAAATAATACTTTTTATAATAATTAATTCTTTCTAAAAAATATTTATAATAATTAATATTTTTCATTAATTTTAATAATATTTATAATTTCAAAATTTTATTTTCACCTACTGTTATGAAAAAATCTTCTCGTCCGCCATTCAGTATAAACCACATGGATCATCAAAAGGGTCAAATATAAAAAGTAGGAACAATGTCTCTTGAGGTGGACGTAGTGTAATGTGCCACATTCACCCTTTGTTTCTGCGCAACCGACGCGTGTTAAACTTAAACATGTCCTGCTGTCGATTTTTCCACATGCCCCTTCCTAATCCACAATACTTATTTATTTCTCTTCCACTCTTTGAAGCTTACACCGACACTAAGTTCCAAACCCTTTCAACCACAATCATGAGCCATGAACCCACCAAATACGGCGACGTTTCCAGAGTCCCCAACGAGTTAGCATCCAAACCAATCTCCCCACAGGATGCCGCCGCCGAGGCCCGCCAGGACATGGGGCAGCGCGTGGAACCTGACGCTCATATTGGTTCAGCTGCCATAGACGGTGACCCCATAACCATCGGAGAAGCTCTAGAAGCCGTGGCCATATCGATTGGCGATAAACCGGTGGACCAAAACGATGCTGCAGCAATCAGCATCGCGGAGATCAGAGCCACCGGAGATAAGAACATAAGGCCCGGTGGTGTGGGGGCAACAGCACAATCTGCAGCCACTGTCAACAGCCATGTCGTGCGCCGTGAACACATGACAAAACTTTCCGATGTATTAACGGTGAGAACGCCGCCAGAAATATATAGTTTTGCATCTAATATATAGTTAGTGTTGTTTGTATTTACCTTCTAATATATAGGTACTCAATCCTGAGAAATATGATTTAGATATCATTAATCATAAAAGATTGGTAAAATAAGTAAAATTAATTGTATTATTATTATTATTAATTTTGTACTGACTTTTATTTTTTACTTGTACTTACTCTTTATTACTATAGAGTACCGAATATACTTTTATATTTTTATACTTATAATTCATTTTTATTTACAATCTATTTTTATTTACAATCTTTTATTATCATAATCTTAATCATGGTTATTATTTTTATTTTTCATAAATTAAATTAATTAATTAATTATTAATTCACAATAAATAATAAAAGATACTCTTAGATTATTTTAAGAGTTAAGATTATAGTTGTAAATTTTTCTAAATAAAAATAGATTTTAAGTATAATTTTTCTCTTTAAAAATTCTATACCCTATTTTTTTTATCGTTCATTCAATAATTATAATTTATTGAAATTATAATTAATTAATAAATATAACTTAATAAATTAATTATAATTATAAAAATTAATAGATAGTAAGGATAACTATCTTTTATTTTCTAATAAGTAAAATTAAGCGTATTATTGCTTAATTTTTTAATTTTGTACTGAGTCTTTAATACTAAAGAGTACATATTTTCTAATATAACTTTATCTCTCTTAACACATAGATGTGTAATTCTAAATCAACAATAAGGGGAGAGTTTGAGTTTCACATTATTTATATGTGAATGTGTTTCCTTCGTTACAATTAAAAAAAAAAAATAGAAGTAAGTGAATTTACATGACAATAAAATTAAAAAAGTGATGGAGTAATTTCATCACTAAAACAAAAAATTAAATAAAAATTTGTGTCATTAAAATAGAGTAAGTAATGTTTTTATTTTTCTAAATATAGTAAGTCTACAGCTGTACTAAAAAATTTATCCATATTTTGGGATGGGGATGGTTAATTACAGGATGCGACGGAGAAGCTGGCGTCGGACAAGGCGGTGACGAAGGAAGATGCTGATGCGGTGTATGCGGCGGAGGTGCAGTTTCCATATCGGAGGGATGCACCGGAAGTTATTGCTGAACCTGGCGGAGTGGCGGCATCCATGGCCACCGCTGCTAAGCTGAATGAAGAAAAATGAAGCCTGAAGAGAAGAGCAGTTTTTTTTTTTAATTTAAATAAACGAGTTTTTTTTTTTTGGGTAAACGAAGTTTAGCTTGTGAATACGTGAACAGTTTAATGTAAATTACTTGTTGGTTCTATGATTTCTTTGCTTCTTTTTTTCTTGAATTTTTAATTTCCTGGTTTGCTGCTTCCCCCCCTTTTCACCTTTTTAAATTACGTTATTTTTTGTAAAAGAAGTTTAACTTGTGAATATGCAAAGAGTTTCATGTAAATTACTTGACAACTATTTTGAAGTCGTGAATTGAATTGAATGGTTTTGTAACTACTCTGAAATTCAAGTTCTATCAGCAGCACTTTTTTTTTTTTTACTTGCAACTTTGACATAGTGTTTGCTCCAGTTGGACAAGAAATTTAACGTCTCAATATCTAGCTATGTTAGAATCATGCGATATGTGTTGGGTCCGTACCAATTTGTGGGCCATGGCTCAATTTGTTTTTGTTACCCTACTACTTCTTCTTCTGGAACAGTGATCATTGTGCCACTGTTCAAAGACTTTTTTACTTAAATGTCACGCAGGCAAGTTCACTGAGAGTTGTAGCGAATTAGGCAAGCTGATGTGTTAGCTTCCTGATGGTCCTGAAGTTCGCTACTGACACAGGCGAACTTGGATGCAATTAATGCTGACACGTATGACAAGTTCGCTTCTCTACAAAGCAAGCTTGGTGTGCCACGTGTCTGACATGATCGTAGTTCGCTGGTGCCCCAGGCGAACTCCTTGCGATGTGTCAATTGACACACAGTTCGCTGGAATGGACAGCGGACTTGGTGCCAAGTTGCAGTCACTGACACAATTCGCTTGACCCTGTAGCGAATTTTGTGCAACGTGGCAGCTTCCTAGAAGTTCGCTGCATGGGAAAGCGAACTACCTGTCGGCAGTTACAGTTTGCTGGCCCAGGTAGCGAACTCAGTGCTATTTAAACACCCATATTTCCCTCCCGAACCCATTTTGTCATTCTCTTCCGTTTTCCTTTAAAGTTTTCATTGTTGTTTGTTGTTTGTTATTTTTTGCTATTTCAATACAGAATGAGTGAAGTAACAACGATATAATATGCTTTCTATATTACAGTGGGAGAAGATATTTTGGACCGAACGGTCAAGTGTTTGAAGGAGATACGAAGATGTTCCGCATGAGTCCGCGTTGCAAATATACTAAGTTGAAGAAAATAATATACAAGAAGTTGAGATTACAACGAGGTCAATCCCTGTCTCGACTGATTGCTAGATGCGCTTCTGGTAACCCGGTGCAATGGGTTGTTGTGGAGGTGGTGGAGGGTGAAGATGTGTCATTAGTAGTTGATGCATTTCGACAGCATGAAGAGTCCTCATACATCGAGTTGTATGCGGAATTAAACACCGGTGGAGAAGCAAGCACTCAAAGTTTTGTCCCTACCAGTTTCTCCATAGACATTAACAGGGAGCCTCAAGTAACTCCGGATGATATGCATGTCTCACCCCCACCACCATCACCCCTACTAACAATTCCTTTAGATATTATTCCTGCCAATGACATGTATGATCCGTCGTGGCGTACTGATAGTTCCGAGGAAGAGGTTGATGAAGGTCTTGTCCCTGACAATGACTCATCGGATACAGACGTTGATGGTGATTTTGAAATGAAGCTGTCTACTGCATTGTTTGAACTGATTCCATCACCGGGCATTGTTGGTACGCATGACCCACCACCTGCTCCAGGTTAGGTTATTTATCGTTGTTTATATTATTATTTTTTGGAATGGTATTAGTAATGAAATGCGAACTTGTGTCAAACAGGGGAGGATAGTGTACCATTTTGGTCGCAAATACTTTACACGAACATTAACTGGGCACACCCCGATCAAGAAATTGATGACATGCATGGGGCACAAGTACCAAATTGGCAAATGGGTCAAGAGCTCTGTAAGGACCAGCAGTTTGAAAGCAAGCAGGATGTACAAATGGCCATCAAACAATACTGTACGGCAAATAATCGCACAACTGTCATGCTAAAAAGTGATACGAAAAGGCTGATAATGATTTGTCAAAATCACAATGACGGTTGTCCATGGAGGATGCGGGCATATCTGAAAAAAGGCGGTCATGAATGGATAATAGGCATATGGAACAACATCCATACATGTGCTACTCATAGACTTTCACAGGATCACAAACAACTTAACTCTAATTTCATTTGTTCATTGATTATCGGTAAGTCTGATCAGCCTCTATATGTTTCAATAAATACCGTCTTCGTAACATTAATGTGTTGTGTTTGTCAAACCACAGAAATGATACGTGAAGAGCCTAGCGTAAAAATTGGCTTAATCCAGGAGAGGTTTGCATCATCTCTAGGATTTCATATATCATACAGAAAGGCCTGGAAAGCAAAGCAGAAGGCAATTTTGAAGGTTTTTGGGGATTGGGATGAGTCGTACGCATTTCTGCCAAGATGATTAAAATATATGTTATTGTTTTCTCCAGGGTCTGCTTATAAACTGGACGTGAATGAACATAGGATTGATGGTCGCCTCGATGGATCGCACAAGGTGTTCAAAAGGGTTTTTTGGACATTCAAATAATGTTGTGATGCATTTCATTATTGTAAGCCTATGCTCCAGATCGATGGGACAAATTTGTATGGAAAATACCACGGAACGCTACTGATTGCTACAACCGTTGACGGTAACAATTATGTCCTGCCTGTTGCTTTTGCTATTGTTAATTGTGAGAATATTGAAAATTGGTCCTGGTTTTTGGCTATGTTACGTCTCCATGTGACTCAGAAAAAGGGAATATGTCTTGTGTCTGATCGGCATATCGGTATATTGACTGTCGTCAATAATGTTGACCTAGGGTGGCAACCACCCAAAGCTTACCATGTTTTTTGCCCGAGACATGTGGCAAGTAATTTCAATCATAAGTTCAAAAATATGATGTTGAAGAAATAGTTAAAGAAGTTAGGTATGGTTCTTGCTCTATGTTTGCTGTTAGTTGCTAAAAATTGTGTGTATATTACTAATTTAATGTTATTTCCAATTATGTGTTGTGATGCGCAGGTTATACTACATCGCGATTGGACTTTGATGCTGGTTTGGAAAAATTTAAAGAATCTAGCCCTCAAATTGCAGCATGGATTGATCGAATTCCGAAGGAAAAATGGAGTATATCATACGATGCAGAAGGAAGACGATTTGGCCACATGACTGCAAACTTGTATGAGTGTGTTAACAAGGTTCTTAAAGGTGCCAGAAATCTATCAATCACGTCTTTGGTACGCATCACATACGCTAGGCTAAATCAATACTTTTTGGCACACGGGCAAGAGGCCCGGGAAGAGATGGACAAATGTAATCGTTACGCCAAAGTGTTCTGGGTATCATACGTTAAAAACCAACAAAATGCTGCAAAACACTTTGTTACGTCGTATGACAGACAGAAAACACGATTTGAAGTTCAAGAGTCTTACAATCAAAGAACCCATAGAGGCGTAAAGAAATGGTGGGTATCGTTAGCTGATCGGGCATGTCAGTGTGGTGAGTTTACTGCTTTTAGGTACCCATGTAGTCATGTTATTGCAGCATGCGAATCAGTTAACCATGACCCCTTACAATACATTGATCCTGCATATAGTGCAACATATCAATGCCAGGTATATTCCGGGCAATGGTACCCATTTGGTAATGAAGATTTCATCCCACCCGGTCAAGGCCCAACTATTCTCCCGGATGTGTCACTTAGATGTCAGAAAGGCAGGCCGCGAAGTACCCGCATCTGTAACGAAATGGATCAGCGCGAAGGCTCAACTATGCAAGCAAGATGTGGTTATTGTAGGGTTGTTCGCCATGACAGACGTCGTTGTCTGTAACACCCTGTATATATCCGGTAATGTTATCATAATATTGTATTAAGCTGCGCTTAATTAAAAATGCGGAATTACTTTTTCTTTTCAATTATGATGCCATTAACATTACCAACTTGCTTAATAATCAATTAATAAAACATCGCCTGTATGTAATTGCAATAAAACAGCTAACTGAAATACCTCATAACATAGATAATATAAGTGTGGCTCTAGTCACGGAACTACAACAATGTAGACCGGACCATCTAACAGTTTATACAGCTCCAATCTAAAAAGTACTAACAGAGAGTGTCATGGACAATCCTCATGCTCACTCAAATAAGGCAACATGCCCAACATCAGTCTCAACAACAACATAATGATAAAAGGCATAAAACATAATCAGCATCAATATCCAGTCATGCTAACAAATAAGCAGAAACAACATAATCAGCTAAGCTCCGGCCTCCTGCCGCCTGAGGCATCAGTACCATACTACCTGATCCTGAAATAAGCATTCCCCAAACGTGGGATAAGATCTCTAATCTAGATATCTCAGTAAGTCAGTGAGTCCTCAATGATCTTCCACCCCAAGCTCACTTACATGTGAAATATAAGTTCAAAAGCAGTTTATCATTTATCATTTCTAAAGCAATGCAATGCAGCAGATAATCATGTCATGTGTGTCAATACTAATCTACTGGCCAGAGACAGTGCATGTATACGTCTATCACCTACACACCGTTCAAGTACCACTTGCATTCACCCCGGTACACCGTCTTGTATGGCGCTACATACTCAGGCTTCCCGTTAAGATGAAACAACACATGCATATTAAAAGCCATTACATGTAAAGTTCAATCAACATATCAAATATCCAAAAGCATGTACACAACATGCATAAACCATACCCCCATGGGACATGGTGGAACCACAACATGGCTAAACCGAGGACACGAAAGCTTACCTTGCAAGCTAACTCCAAAAGCCAAGAGTCCACAGCTCAAAGTTCAAACACAGCAGATTCACAATCTGTTATGGACCAATACTAAATCAATAACATGTACCACATGCATACAAATTAAAGACAACGCCTTTTCATTACGCTTAACGTCTTAAGGCTCCATACCAAGCCATAAGTCCTTAATCACTTGATTCTGACTTAGTTTAATTAAAACAGAAGTTCAACTTCATTAATCTAGGGTCCACAAACCCCCAATAGCCTACTGTACACACAGCACAGCTACTGTTCTGCGAAATCCCAGAATATCCGGATATTCC